TGGGGAGGCGGAGCAGGTCCCGCATTGGTAATAGAAGAGCTTCGGGTGGGCGGGGAATTGTGCTTTATTTTTAACACGTTACGCACGTAGAGCGATGCTAAAAATATAATGGTGTATACACTTGTCTTTATATAGCCGCCATAATATCGAGTAACAAACGTCGCGGCAAACGCACATGGGCGAAATCCACCTCTATCTCTGGCCGGAAAGGAAGTGAGCTCCCCGGCAACATAATAAAGCGGCCATAAAGCAACAGAACGTGCTAACAACACGTACAAATGAGCCAAAAGGGATGTGTGTGTGTATATGGCGAAAAACTACTTCTCGGAAAAGTCATTCTCCGGGAAATTCGGACTGAATAAAAGGGAATTGGAATGGAGGCGGTAACTAGGCGCAGCAGAAGCTATTTAATACCGGAACTTCTTAGCCTAGATACAAGAGAATTTCTTGTAATTTACCTTTTCCAAGGTGTTAACTAGGTATTTTCCAAAATGTTGAGAAGATTTCCAGTGAAATACAGTTGCAATTGACACATTAAAATTGTAAAAATAATAATTAAATATTGGGATTTTATCTAAAGTTACCTCAAAAATTCTAACTAAGATCTGGTTCTCTTTTCACAATATTTAATTACACATGGAAACAGTTTGTTACCGGATTTTTAATATGTTTTCTAAAAGATCAACCAACCAAGACCAAATTTAATGAGAATGCCAATAAAATGTGTACAATATTTTATCTAATGCCGTTTTATTATCATAAAAATATGAGGATAGTTCATAAAAGAGCTCCTGATAGCTCATAAAAACCGTATTTTTATAGATATTGTTACAATCAGGAATAAATGGATATTATTAAACGATGTGTATATATTTTCCTATAAAATCTTAATTCTTCCCAAGAAATGTTGTCTAAATTTTTAAATAAGCAGAGAACTGTTCGAATTATAAATGCCTGAATATTAATAAGACCTTCTTTTTTTCTACCAATAATATTCCATCCAGAAAGTTTTCGGGAATGTCCCAAACTGATGCTGGGCTGATGTTGTTCTCCAGTTACTTTGGGGAACCCCCCTTAAAAAAATTTGTAATTCCCAAACGAGGCCGTGCAGCATTCTCATGCTAAACACGAACCAAGAGCGATTTACTGGCACTTTTTCTTTATTTTCCTCGACTCCATATCCCGGAGAGTAGGGACTATGTGTGTGTGTGTGTGTCAAAAGGCAGACAGCATAAATAACACGAGCCGCAAAAGAAGAAAAGATGCCCAACAAGGGCGAGGAAAAACACGTGCAAAAAAAGACCCAGCTTGGTTTTCCTCTTGTTTTGCGTTTTTCCCTCCCTTTTACTTTTCTCGCTTGCTATTTTTTTTCCTTTAAGGCAGCCGTTTGATAATAAAAATCAAATAAAGCCGGGCCCAAGTCGAAGAAATGACTGAAACCGCAATGCCAAAGAAAGTGAGGCTGGGAAAAAAGGCAATGGAAAGTAAAATTTCACACACGCGCCGAGGAAAAACAACAGGAGAGAAAAAAACAACACGTAAATAAATAAGAAGCGTGAACTTGAATTGATTTGCTTAAGAGTGTTACCCGAACCACTTCTTGTTTAGGCGTAAAAACATCATAATTATAACGAGGTTGCAATTTGTATGGCTCGGGATCAGGCAACGGGGCGTATGAGCGACGCGCAGCCAACGCGGCGGATGAGCAACACGCTCGTAAGGAACTTTTTTATGGCACACACGGGCATAAAATTTAAACCGAATGTCAAGAGAAAAAGGTTAAATGCAGCTGTAAAAATTCATGCCAAACAGAGGGGGGAGGGGGGCGGGAGAGCTGCAAAAAAGATTTATGAAAAATTGGCTTTTGTTGTTATGGCCGTGTTTGTTGGTCCTTGTTGTTGTGGTTGTGCGTCGAGGGGCTTCTCTTTGCAAGTAAACAAGATAACATGGCTGAAACACATACACATACACACTCATCCCGAATCTCACACACACTCACTCACACACACTCACTCACACACACACACACATGCGGTCGAAGGTCCGTGAACGGAAATGAAAATGTGAACTTTATGACAGAACTCGACTTTTTTTACCGCTGCCGTTCGACCTTCTGCGCCCCCCGCCGTTCGTTAGGATATCCGCTCGGGCCTCGCTCTTTTTTTTTGCAACCGCCAGGCCACATTTTTATCAACTAGCATAAATAAATCAAAAACTATATGGCCTCAGGTCAGCTGGGTTTACACCCTTACATGTGAACTTAAATGCAAAAAATTAAGGTTATAAATAATGTTCTTAGTATGAACCTTAAATCAAGTAATAATATATTATACCTTTTATAGAAATAAAAAAGGAATAGTGATTTTTTATATAATTTACTTTAATTCCTACTTATTAAGTTCTACTTCTACTGGTTTATTTTTAATCCTAAAAGTTTAATAAAAACTTAAATGTATAGTCTTTTTTTAAATCACAAAAAGAAATAACAGTGTATATCCCCCAATGTATTTATCAAACATAAATATTCAAAAAAGAAAAAAATAATATAAGATATACAAATGCTAAATAATAATCTGAGCTGCCATAATTTTCATTGTCGTTTTCATGTTGAATTGAATTTTATCTGTTGACCGCAAAATAAACAAAGATGCCAAAGCAATTTTGTGGCCAATGGAAACAAAAACAAATGGCATATATGTGTGTCTGTGTTTATGCATAGATAGTTGCATATTGGCCAACATGGGTTAACTGGGTTAAAATGACAAACGCAATTGGGCACAGCAACAAATAAAAACAACAACAAAAAGCATGGTCTGTCTAACACATTTTCTGTTAAACATTTACTGGCCTTTCTTCGCGTGGCTTCCTTTTCTCTGACATTTACAGTGGATATTCGATAAAGAAAACTGACTAAGAAATACAAGATTTTGTTAGAAATTCTTAAGAGAATAAAATAAGTAGTAATAAATATAGGAGAGAGGTGCAATTAGTTTTGTAGAAGAAAACAAAACAGAACAATTATTAATAAATGGTTTTCTTAATATTTACTTACTGATCAAATTAATATTTACAAAATCAATATATATATAATATAATATTCATATATTTAAATAACTGAAAATGTATGCATTATGTAGATTTCCTAAAATATAATAAATATTTCAGTTAACCTTATAATTCTCTTTACTTCTTAGAGTTTAAAAATGCATTCCCTAAATCTATTAAGTACTGTATTTTTTTGTTTTCCTTATTTTTTGTTATTGCACATTTCTCGTTTGGCCATGTTTCCCACATAAATGTAATTTCGGTTTTTATTGGCCTTTTACAAATTTGTTCTCCGCCGTTGTTTATGTTTATGCATTTTAATGGCACACAGTAACCGGCAGCCAAGTTGAACAATTTTTGGCAAGTGAAGCGGCCTGCAAGCAGCCGGCGCTTGCCAGCCGTCTGATCTTTGGCCCATAGACACCCCTCTTCCCGCCGCTGAATAAACCCCCCTCTGACCCACAGACCCTGGCACAATATCAAAGTCAAATTGTGTGTAAAATTCGGATGCCGAATAAAATCATCAGCGGCGGAAAATGTTGAAACCAATTCAAAGCTGATGACTAAATGATGAGCCAAAATGATGGGCACAAAAAGGGCAGGCATTTTGAGAATTTTGAAATAAATTCGTCATGTTTCCAGGTCATTGCAGTTATTTATTGAATCAATTTGATTAGCGAAATTCAACAGGCAAATTTTGGTAGAGGAAAAGTGAGGGAGATCTAAAAAATGCAAGCTACATTACTTTGTAATGATTATAGTCATTTTCTTTATTTAAAGAACATGTGTTTTATTTATTAGAGCATAAATCTCACTTAGTTATAGGCAATAAAAAACTGAAAATAGTATCAAAGAGACATTTAATATCTACGAGTTCTGAGTTATTTTGTATTCATATTTTTATAGTGAAAAGAAAACAAGGATTAATGTTGATTGAAGAAGACCAGCTACTATTATTCTTTATTATTCTGAAATAGTTTTTATTATTTCTGTTTAATGTGTTTATTTGCCATTTCATGACATACTTAAAGTTGTTTAAAATAATCATTAGCAAATAAAAACTGTCATTATTCGTAGTTTAAAATAATTATTCCATAAATATGGCAAAGAAAACCATTTAATTTTTTTGTATGCCAGGTTTTTGCACAAATAAACACTCGTTAAATTTAATGGATAATTATTAAACTCTTTTTATGACATTATTAAAACAATACTTATCAAATACAAATTGCTGAAAATTTAAAATTTGCTATGTTTTTCTACCTTTATCCTGGCTCTTTGGTTAATTAGTTCTCTAGAAATAATTACAAGCTAAAAATGAAAAGCCTCGAAGGAAGCTCAAACTTTGATTGCTACACAAAACCCTTCCTCCTGTCTCTCGTTATTTTTTCCTATCAAAAGATAACGATTATGCTCGTTTCCTGGGATTATTAGCTAGTCATCTGAACAGATTGCTTTCCCCGTTCCAAAGGAGCTCTAATTGCATTCGATATTCCCCGTAACCTTCACCCCTTTCCTTGCTAAACTTGGCTTGGCAGCTACAATTTCAAATAGCCAGGATATTCGAGCAGAAGATTGGGTGTACAGACTCTGGAAATCCCTTGTAATCCGAGCCGAGGAAGAAGAAATCACAGTCACAATCCTTTGGCTCCAACGGACGACTGCCACTCAGGAGTGTCGCTGCCAAGAAGAAGTTCGGTCGAAAGTTGTTGAAAAATTGCAAACGTTAATCAAAGTTAAGCGGCGGCGCCGACGTCAAAGTTAATTAAATTACAAAGTTATTTAATACTTTGGAATCGTTCAGCAGAGGTGGCGGCACCAGCAGGAGCCAGCGAAGCATCCAGCCAGGCATCCCAGCCAGGAGGCACCATCTGCTCCAATGAACTCTGCCCCCGTGCATCATTCGTCCTTCGTCCTTCGTCCCCGTTCGCAACGTGTGGCAGCTCTTAATGAAATGTAATTGAAATGAATTTATTTTTCTCACACTTTTTCGTGAGTCTGTGTTGTGTGTCTGTGTAATGGAAGCATTTCGTGTGCAGCAGCTTAATTCATTTTTCAGTCGGGCATTGACCAGTTAATCTCATCGTCATCGGACGAGGAGTCCATCTCCATAACGTTGGGTTCCACGTGCATTATTATATCCTCCATACCATCGTATTGGTGAGTACTCTCCATCTTTGGCTCCATCAGGAAGGGGCACTGCGAGGCTGTTGGGGTTAAAAGTTGTTATGACGATGTGAAGATGATGATAATAATAATAATAATGAAAATCAACTTGGAATACCTTGGTTCAGTGATTCAAGGTATTTCAAGGTTTTGCAAAGAGCTTTAAGATTGATTTTTGAATAATATTTTGAGGTATTGCGATTTTAAATCAAGCAAGATGTTAAGAATATAGAAAACTAAACAAGAACATGTGAGTTTAGATAACTTTTTAAATACCTAATGGGTTTTTCTCATCCTTGTCCTCGTATACATCTATCTTTAAGATTTCATTGCGTGGCATTAGCGCATCCAAACAGGCCATTTTCTCGCGAGGATCCAAAACCAGGACCTTGAAGATGCTCTCCGCCGCCTTGTGGTTGCCGTTCAGCGAGAGATACGGCTCAGAGCCCAAGTAAAACTTATTGAGGGCACTCTGGGTCCAGTGCTGGTTCAAGGCATGTCCCTTACGCACCGCCGAATAGGTTTTCTTCCTACTTTTCTTTATCGACGTGCCCTTGAAGGAGTGCGCCCCCGGAAAGGGCGGGAAATGGTCAGGGATGTGGGAGCTGACAGGCAGTTCGCGGATGCTGGTCTCCGTCAACATTGGCTCCGGTCCCCTGTGGAAGTCTTCGTCGCGTGTCTGTGGATCCGGACACTTGACAGGGCCACCTAGGCGGTAGCTATAACTGCGGCACTGAGTGTCTCTGACGTGATACGCGACAAATCCCAGCTGCCTAAAGGTGCGCTCCAGATCAAAGAGAGTGGGCACAGTGCGTCCGGCGTGATTGGACGCATTGGTGGTGCGAGTGGCAATAAAACGGATTACTCAAGGGGGAAAACAAGAGTTTAATCATTTTCTTAGCTATCGAAACGAAAAGATGGGGAGATGAGTTTACTTACTGATTCGCAACTCTTCCACCAGCAGGTCAAGTATGAATCTGTTCTTCACCCTGCAGTCAATGGTCATCAACAGTTTCCACACCACTTTGTACAAGACTCTATCGTAGGCATTCATTTTAACAATTAAAATAAGAGAAATGAAGAAACTATGCCGAATAATCGAGGTGACACAAGTCAAGGAAAAAAGTTCTGAAAAACAAGTTGAAATATCTTTCTAAGCCTTCTTTGTTATTGATTAATTTGACAGCCTTTGGTTTTAGAGTTGCCAATAAATGTAAACAACTATAGAGAACTTACAAATAATAATATGTATATCACACAATGCCATTCCCCCTTAGTCGCCTCCACTTTCCTTAACTAATTTACACAATCTTTCCATAATGTTGAGCACAAAAGGCCATCGCTGCTTAGCGAAATTAGCTACCGTTTTGGGGAACAACTACATATCTCTGCCGCCACACCCCGAAAACTAATTAAAGTATTTTCGCCTTTTGCGATCGCGGCAAACTGCAAACTGTTTAGCATCCGAACTATACCCGCTATCCCCTGCAGATCCAACCATTAGACCATATCTCGAACATCTCTCCTAATGAGTTATGCAAATATTTGCAGCTGAATGGGCGGCTTCCAGGAAAATAATAACAAGACAGGCCATGCTGGCCAGCCAAAAAGTGGGAGCCATTGTTTGGCCAATGACAAATTTTCCAGACTCTGCGTCACAGATAAGCGGAAACGTGAGGCATAATCAGTCATAGAGCGGGAAAAGAGAACGGAAAACGGTAAGGGGAAAACGGGACTCGTTGGGGAAAAACCCAGGCACGAGGTCACTGTGTCGCAGTTTGGAAAAAGCACTTAAGATGCAGACAGATTCGCGTTTTCCGACGCCCAACAGGCTGCTGCAATTGAACAAATTGTCCGACCTCCTAGAGCCCCTACACAAGTCCACCCCCCTTCCCCACAATCTCTGTGTCTGTGTTCCAATCTTTATGATCATCGTCATGATGGAGCTGATGATGGGCATTATGTTGCCTCAGCTCCGCACGGTCGTGCATTGTGGGCGTTCCATAACTGACAGACGTACAAAGAACTCGCCCGTCGTATCTCCGATCTCATGTTTTTTTGCCTCCAAGCGCTACCGTTTAAGGCATACACGCGAAAAAATAATAATAATATCTTAAATGCTTATCAAATGGTTACAAAATGATTAGCAAGAAACCTTGATCTTAGGTTAGAGGGAAATTCGAACAAATTAATCTGGCATTTAAACAGAAATAGATACAAGTAAAGATGCAATTAATAGCAGAACTATATTAGCTTTTTATACATTTTGATTTTTTATCAGACTTTTATAAATGGGATCTTTTTAATAATAAGTCTACAAGGTCTTAAATGAATACCTAATCTGGCAATTGTGTAACTGAGTCATCTATCTTTAGTTAATGAAAAATATATCTGGTATTAGTCTTAGGTATTATCAATTAGTGTAACCAATATTTAGGGGAATTTTTTCATTTTTCTGATTGCTTGCAGTGTTTTTAAGAAATTTTTCATAAAAGATAAGTTGTGCCTTTTAATGTGTTTGTTCAACTTAATTACCATTCGCTTGGTTACAAGTAAATGCCATAAATGTTTCTTAACAAAAGTGTGGGTTATGACTAGTGTTTACTGTGCAGGTTAAGTTAAAGTTAAATAGTAATTAAAAATGATCACATAATAAAAAGTAATGGAAATACCTTAAGCTATTATCCATCAAATCTTAACTAAATACATTTTATAGAAAATAGATTTTACGGTTACCTGTTACCTCAAAGATTCAGTATTTATTATATCTAACCTATATACTTCTAACAAAATTTACCCTACACCTTTAATTATATTTCTTTAAGCTTCTTTGTCTTTGCTCCCCTTTTATTTTCTCTCTCTGCAAATTGTGATACAATCCTGTTGACATGTTAATTTATGCACTCGCATTAGCGGTTGCGCCCATTGTCGCATAAATTTCATTCATAATTAACAAGATGAGTTGCACTGAATGGAGGCTGGAGAGCACATCCCGCGTTGCAGTTAGTAGTTGCCACGAACATTGCAAGTTGTTTGCTCAGACGACAAACAAAATAATTGCCGCAATTTAGCCGACGGGCAGCATAGCCTCAAATTGAGCTGTCTCTGGCCAAAACGGGCTAATTCAAACGATTAATTCGATAAGCTTGCAGCTCCAATCGGACGGCACAAACGGGCCAAAGAGACAGTTGGACAAAACCCGCAGCAAATTGATTGAGCAGCCGATTACTGTGGAAGTCAGAGTCAGAGTCACAGTGCCCCCTCTTTTAATCCCGGCCAGAGGCCCGGTGCAAATTGCCCCGTCGGCTGGAGCACAACACTACAAAGCACCAGCAAATTGTTCCAGTTTCCGAGGCGCAGATAAATCTATTGAGATATCGACCTCCGGTCTGCAAACTCCTCATCCTCTCCCTAGTCTCCATGGAGTGATCTTGCACCGTTAAGCCCACGCAGGCCAAATGCATTCCGCCTCGAATCTTTGCCTCTGGCTAGGAGGCTGTGCATCTGGATCACGATCTTCTGGACTCTAGGTTCTCCGTTCTCTGGAAGCAATCAAAGGGAAGGCATAATGTTTATGACAGGCCAATGCCGGAACTGGTGGACAGGTTAAGCCACATTCTGCGGAACAGAGACTGAAAGGGTAATGGAGCCACTTGAACTATTCACCTGCAAGGGGTGCCATTGGAAAATCGAGAAATTCCAAAGATTTTTACTTAGGTTTTCCTGTCTTAATCAAACTTATGCCTGATCTGCAAACACTTTGCTATAATGATCACCTCTAATTGAGCTCATTATAGGCTAGTATCCCGTTGGCAATTTAAAATCAAAGTTCGACACGAGCACGACTTTTTGCCGGCTCTTGCAAATCACTAATGACACAATCAATGCAAACTTGCGTAATTATAGCCCGAGGAGCGCACTGTTGGCCAGATGGTCAACTGTTTTGGGCCACGTTTATTTGATCAATGGCCCCAGTTAGTGGGAAGCCGGTAGCCACAAAAAAGCGCGTTCGTCAACCGGCCAAATTGTGTTAAAATTGTAAAATGACAACGACCATAACAATTACAATTATTGTAACTTATTGTGCGGCTTGGAAAACGAGTTTACCTGACCAACAGGTGCCTCGATAATTTTACTTTACAATCTTTGGTATCCGAATTGGGAAATCAGTTACAAATCAACCGTCTCCAATCTTTGAGTACTTGCAAACAATGACGGAATCGGTGAGCTATATTAATTTTTTTTCATATGTCGCAGTCTTATCTTATCAGTGCAAAAAAAAAAAAAAAAAACCCAGTTGCCAAGTAAAAATGGGTTAACAGGGTTAACAAGGGTTGGCAGAAAAGCCTCTTACTCTTGCCTCTTACTGATTTTTTTGTTAAGACTGTAATACTTTTTAAGAAATTGTTTACCTTCTGATTGTGAGAAGGTCGTAAATGTTTAAAGCCATTTTGAAAAAGATATTGCAGAAATGCAACTTTTGCTAAAAAGTTCTTGGATTGTTAATTTGACTATTTGTATTTCGGAAAAATAGTAGGAAAATGTTGTTTTATATTTCCTCTATTATTATATTATTATATTATTATTATATTATTATTTCTTATAATATTAAATCCTAATTTTCAATGTCAACTGGCTGTGAATTTGGCATTTCTTAGACTACTCTTTGTTTGTCTAAACACATATATTCCTTTTAAAATTTTCCGAAAGAACTGTTCCAAGTAAAAGTGCACATTGTATTTATTTGCAGTTTGTTTGCTTTTTGGATATTATTAGGGCACTTGCACTTTGGGAAACTTTTGCTCTGACTTCTTTGCACTTCGACATTTGTCTGCTAAAAAGTTTTCCCTCCCCCGTCGACAGTAGGTTGTTTGCATTTTCCGCAGAGATCCGACAAAAGCTTCTTTTGTGCCGAGGTTATGCAAATCGAATGGAAGAGATTGAAACTGCGATTGGGTTAGAGATTGAGATATATAAATATACATAGATAGATATAGACTGGAAGACAGACAATGTTGCAATTTAGCCTTTTATGACAAAGTTGACAAAGTAATTTTGCGGCGAGACTTCGAGATTCACTTTCTATTTGCTCTCCGGTTTATTGGGTTCGATGTCATGTTCGGAGCCGCCTATCTAATCACAGGGCAGGTGGCAATATCAGAAAAAGGGAAAACTCGAATAACGATCGAAATGTCTTGATTATTTCCAATTGACACAATTTTTTGTTTTTTTGGCGAGACTTTGTCTAGCTTCATTTCTTTTCTCTGTTTCTTATTCTGTTCCTTTCAACAACGTTTTGTATTGACCAAATTGAAATTTATTGCCGAAACAAATGGCGAATTATGTCGAACGGGAATTTATTAAATTACCGCTGCCAATTGAAAGCGGGTAAAACTCGAAATTAAAAGCGGTCTGAGGTGCGGAAGTGCGGAACGCGTGGCACATTTATTAATTTCATTCTAGGGAAAGAGAGAAACGTGCGGAGTCGTCTGCTCCGATTTCGATTCGATTTAAATTCAAATCAACTTCTCAAAGCTGGCGGCAAATTTATGCAGTATTTTGGTACATCTACATCAGGTTCCCGTCACCGCTTCTTTTGTGCTCATCCATTCCAGAAACAAAAATGCAAAATTTGTGCTAAAAACCTTCTACTTTTCTAAGCATAATTACGAATTTCGACTTGCATAAGCAGGCGAAGTCAGAGTTTTTGGCTAGAGATGTGTCATAGTAAGCATATCGAAGTTATCATAAGGCAATATATAAAATATCGCTAATTAGGATATCGAAGAATGTTCTATTAATATTCTAATTTAAAACTAAAAAGTTTCGGGTACGAATATAGAAGGGAAATTTTAAATAACAACAATTCCGGTAACAAAAATGTATATACCTTTATTTTGTAATAGAAAAAATTAACTTATAAAAAAACGGAAAGAAAAAATACCTTCATAAAATTCCAGAAAGATGTGATATCGAAATAAAATTCCATATACCAAAGAATCATCTTTAATATTGTCAAAATATATAAACAGACATTTCATAAAGTGAAGGATCACAATTATAGAAAAGGATGCCAAAAAAGGTAATGCTAGTAGTAAATAAATATTGTTGTAATATAAATTTAAACTATTTTTTTACATTAAATTGACTCCTATGTCCGATTTTTTTGAATTCCTTAAACAGTTTTGGGATTTTCATTGTGAGAAGTTTCTTTTCTCTTCCAACTTTCTGTATCCCATATATATCGCCCAAATAAACATTTCCAGCTGACAGACATTGAAGATAAACAAACAAAACCATCCGAATGCAGTTGCTTAAATTATGAAAGAAATGCCAGATCAAAGGCTTGGCTATTACAGGGGGAAATGGTGGGGTTTACAAGGCAATTCCTGACATCTTCAAGTGGCTGTGATCCGAGGCAAGACTCTGTTGCAATTATTATTATTTTTGGACCGCAGCACAGTATTTTGCTGACGCCAAATGGAGAACTTTGCATTTTTATTCGCGCTCCTCAATATGTCAAAATGCTTTTTGCTTTGCCCTCGGAGAGTTGGTTTTTGTGCATCAATTGAGTCAATATTTATGGCAAAAGAAAAATTCTTGGAATATCATTTGCATGATTTTCCTTTGGCTGGAAACTTCTTACTGATTTTTTGTGTATTTTTCTTTATTGCAGATTTGTGAATTTCTGATCTGCGAGGGGAACCAAAGGCGTCTAACCAAAAGGTAAATACATATAAACTGTTTTGATTATTTTTATGTATATAAAATAATAATATTAAGCTTATAGAGTCATTAATAACACATTTCAATTGACTAAGCTCTCTTAAATAATTCATTCGAGTGTCTTAGTTAATTAATTCTTAACACATTACTTGAATTTATGTATTCAAAAGCTAATAAAAATTCAAATCTATATGTGAATTGCCTGAAATATTTCCTAGACTTCACATAACTTAATTAAATATCTAAACTTTTTGTTAACTAAGCTCAATTAATTCGGTTTTATTTGCCAATTTGCAATGCCAAACATAGTATGCCTTCTCCTGGCCATGTTCAATAAATTCTCAGCCAACAAACATGTAATGAAATTGTGTTATAAATTTTCCCGCATGGAAAAGGCTAAGTACATTCCATAATTCAACAGCTTGGCTCGATAGCGATGCCATTTTCTGCAGTTCAAATGGCTAATGCAATTTGAGCCACCAAAAGCAAAAGGAAAAAAGAAAAACCACCCACACACATGTGGTTGGTTGTCAACATTTACCGCACATTTTGCGCAATGCCAGGCGGCGATTTTGATTTTCATCTTTTGGGATTCAGGCGGGTTTTCATTTACACCTATTTATATTTATTCCCTCACAACAACGGCACTCTAAAGTTCGCCACTTTTTCCCTTATATTTATTTATGCATTTTGTATGTTTTTTAAAGAATTGCAGTGGAAGTTACTATTACAATAAGTTAAGCGATAAGTTAGCAGACGCTTATTGTGACCCATAAATTAATAAGAGTGCAAACGGAAAAGTTGTCACCGTTGCACGTGGCGAATACGTAATATTTCCCATTGGTATTTCCGTGGCCTTAACGCCACAATTTGCTTAATGCCAACCACTGGCGATCAATATTGATGCCTGACCAATATTTGTACAATTTGTTTCAAAGTCACAGACCGCTGACATACAGACATATTCCGGCGAAGTGGATATAGATATATAGTAGTGGTGGAAACACCTGAAAAGTCTGCTGAGTCGGCTGACTCAAATTGCAGATGATTCAGATGAACACACCTCTATGGCTGCACTTGAGTTAGTCACGGAAGATTTTCAACTTATTTTTGCCTCATCTTTTTTTCTTTTTTCTAATTTTTAATGTCTCTAGAATCAATTTGCATGGCATTTGTTCTGTCAAAGTTCCCCTGTCCTGGCCATATACGTAGCGTAATTTGATTTCCAGATATCGCCGAGTTTGATTTGTGATTTTTGTGGCGTTTCTGAATTGGCTTGCCTTGACATTTTGGTGGTGGAAAATTTAAATATAGATTAAAAATCACCAAAAACGGCCATCGGAGTGTCGAGCGACGAGCCGCTGGCCATTAGAAAAACGTTAATGCCACGCCCCCAACCCCGCACTATCTATATATATATATCCATCTATAAATATGCCAGACTTTGCATTGCCATAAAGTCAACAAAGTGGTCAAGAGAATGGGATGATGATGATGATGATGCAGCCAGCAGATGGTCCTCGATGATGGCACTGTGAAGGGTACTACCATGATGACAGGGTGTTCCAGGGGGAATCTGAAGAGGAGTTATGTACTGTGGGAAAAACTATATAAAACTTAGAAAACTATACAGAAATTCCTAGGGTTTTTAAAGCCCTTAGAAGGTGCCTTTGAATTTCTCTAGGTATTTCTAAAACGCTCTAAATAGTCTTGAATTATTTATTCTCAAAATTCAAGAGCTTAAAACCTTTTCTAATTTTTCTACATTCCCTGTTTAAGTAAAAGAAACTCCTCTTGAACGCTAGTCTCATTTTCTCTCTGTGCAGGGACATCCCCTTTTATAAAAAGCAAATGCAGTAGACCGGTTGGCAATAAATTACCGTCAAACGGAAATCATTTTGCATGCATGTCCTGCATCCCAGCTTCGAACAGAAAAAAAGACCACACTCTCTTGAAATGAAAATGTCCTGTTTGCGTTTGCGGAATCTGAAGCGGAAATTCAACAAATTTCTGGAAAACGGAAGAGCGGGACAATTTCCACTTATCCTGCTTACAATCACCGTGGCCTTTAGCCCTTTTCCCAGAGCAATAAACTAACATTCCATAATGCGATTAAGCCCGAGAACAATGCAAGTTCCCAGCTATTTTGCAAGAAACCAAAAACATTTTCTGCACAACACGCACAAAAACCATAGACGAAGCAACAAATTTTTCGGAGCCTGTAAATGATTTCAAGGCAACTCTCATGTGTGTGTGGTGTGGTGTGTGAGGGGTGTGTGTTAGGGGTGTGCGGGTCTGGCAAACAAGATAAAACTTTTGATTTATCGTTGACACGAACGACAAGAACAGAAAGAAGCGGAAGAGCAGAGCGGTCCAGGACCTGACGGAGTCCTGCGGAATTTTTTGGCCAGTGGGAGGTAACTGGAAACTAACTTGGGACACAAATGCGTGCGTCGATAACGAAAGGCCAGATCCTGCACTGCAGAAATAATCCCTCTGACTTTGAGTATTTTTAAGCGGAGTTTTCATTGAATTCTCTTAGATGTAAGAACCTCTTTCAATTGAAAAGCTTAAAGTTCAATAAGATTACTTGATAACAACACAGGAAACCTTTCCAAACTTAAATGAATGCACTGTTGGCTTAATAAACTATGATTTTGCAAAAAACTTATCATATATAAATACCTATTTAAACTCGCTGGAATACACGTATTTAAGGTCTTCTTGGAACACAAAATGACACCTTTTTAAGGCACTTTGCTAATCCCCATGGTTACCGAAACTTTCCTCACCGTGTGCCTGCATCGGAGGCAATTACCCAGCTGGCCACATGCCATGGTCTGGCAGTGTCAAGTGTGTGTCACGACACGCGCCGACAAATTTGTGGGCTGCCACCCAAAAAAAGCTGGAAAACTGGCATAAACTCTCTCTCTCTCCGGCTTTTGTGACAGGGAAAATGAGGATGGGTGGGTGAAATTCTGAAAGAAGAATTCGAGGCGAGCACAGACAACAATGGGCAGCTGAATGGTCAACTTGCCACCCACACCCACTCCTCTGATAACATCGGCAAAACAATTTAGCCCAAAAAACCAGAAACGGATACTGAGAAGTCTGAAAGCAAAGTTCCGCAGTATTTGTTTGCTTTGCCTGCCTTAATTTTCACAAATATTTGCTCATTCACATTTTTGCTGTTTACTCACTTTGCTACGAGTCTGAACTTGAAAAATAAATTAATAGAAAATATTTTTACAGTTCAGACGGGGGAGCGTTAAAAAATTAACAACACAAAAATACGCCAAGTGACATTTTTATGTCAATGAAATCCGCACACAAACCGATCTATACGAGTACATGTACAATATACAATATATATGTTGAAAAACAGATCTAGAAAACGAAGATCGCTTTAACAGAATATATCATCGTAGGGTAAGAGATATTTATGCACTTCAAGAAAATATTTAGAAATTCATTTGTGTCTTTTAAGAGCTTCACAGAATATAAATTGGGTATTTAATTCGTTGGACATTCTAAAAACTATTTAAAAACACACATAGATTTTTTTAATTTTTTTTAGAATATTAGTATTACTCTTTTACTTTATTTCGAATTATTTTCCTGCTTAATTATTAGGTATGGTAGATTGCTCTTTCCATTGAATTAAATAATACATTTATTCAAAGAAACATATTCATTTCTTATTAAAATGTACAGTTCTTGCATTACTTCGGCTTCATTTTTTATGTTTAATTACCAAATGAATTCCACGTGAAATATTTAAAATCTTTTAATATTACATTTTCCCTTGAACTGAATACCAATCCTATTCAAAGAAACATAGATTTCTTCATTTAAAATTTCTTAATAAAAGGTCATGAACTCATACATTATTTCTGATTATTTTCGTGCTAAATTGCTTAATCAAAATTTGTCAAAATATTAGTAAAGGCATGGAATCATTAGTTGCTGTGTCACAATTTAGCACAACTAGATTAATGGTGAATTTATTTATTACTTTTTGGACACGTGGCTTATCAGCAAAGCATGAAGAAATATATTTAAAATCATGAATGGAAACAAAAACTTCAGGAAGTTGAAATTTATATAAGTTTTCAGTTGGCAACGAAACGATCATAACTAAACTTAAAATATTGTTATTTTTTAAATCAATATTTGTCGATATATTTAGTCCTCAAATCGAAAAACATTAATCGTAATTCGGAAAGCTTTCTTATGTTAGTTTTTAATTAGGTTAATATATCTGCATACTGTGTTAACAATTTAGAGATGGAGATATTTAAATACTTGTGCTATCAATAGATTCTTTACATTTTAAATCGCTTTTTATATAATTTAATTATTTGTGAAATGCAAATATTTCTCTCCGTGTAAATACTGATGGGTGTCTGATAGACTGGGACACCCCAGCACCCCCGAGTGTGTGGAATAAATTCGAGGGGCATGACATCACTTCGACCGAGAGTCGCGGCTCCAATTGCCGTTCGAGTATGCGAAGAGTACGTGATATAGATGCTGACGTAGCCGCCGGCGCCTGCGCCCAATGCAAATCTCAATCTTTGGGTTTATTTGGTCGATGACGTTGTCTCCAATACCCATTCGCAGTGCACACACAAACACGCCGAAAAGTCGTTGGAAAATATCTGAGGCCTCGCATTCGAATTGCGGGTACGTGCGGCGCATCGAAAGTCCGGGGAAGGGGCATTCAGAGACTGAGTTATGTCATATATCTTTTGGGGTAGGACCAAAGACGAACGGATGGATTGGCGAGCAGGTAGAAATGATTGATTTGTGGTACTCTGCGGGAATGCGAAGTGCAGCCGAGTTGATTTGTGATGATTTCTGATGAATTGTTTGTTGCCTTTCGCATGAATCTTAAAATCAAAACTGAATTTATGACTCTGGGGGAAGCATTTCGCTTTTAATTTGTACTGCGGTCGATTTATAACGTCTGTCCCGCCCACAAAGACAGAACTAAAAGC